GAAGGTTTTTCTGCATTTAAACGGTCTGCAGAGTCACAAACCCTCAAAGTACATCCTGTAGATGTACTTTGAGACCTGTCTATGCTGCCCCAGAACGCCTCGTTGGGGATTTCTGTGAGCACAGTGGGCTCACAGGGAGGGGGGGGGCAGGAGCTCCAACTAGCCGTGTAGGACAGAGAGTGAATACACATACTATACAGAGATGCTGTATGAGAAACCAATGTGAGTTTGGAACATTGAACAATATAAATCTATTCTAGTAGACCTCAACAATGGAATTACGATCAGTAGAAATGGCCATGACATGGGACCTTTAAGTAAATAAAATCCAATTGTGTTTCTGAAAGCATTTCATCCAGACTTTGCCCTTTGACCAGCTCTTTACTGGAGGTCCATTAACCTTTTTTGAAAATTAATAAAAATAGGATTTCTCTGTTTTTATGTGTGGGTTAGGGTTACGTGGTGCTATGTTATTGGCCATTGAGGCTCCGTTTTAAAGTAAAAGTGACAAAAATATTGAGTGTATGAGTCAGAAACTGTTTTTGAAATACATCGAACTAGAACTATCCCAAGTTGATCAATCATTCAGTTCAATTGACTGAAAAATTATCACAAACTATACTGATCATTGATTAATTGTCCCAGAAATGTTTCTTACAAAGTGGTGGAAAATGCTGTTTTCAGTCTCATTTATAAGCGATGATTTTTCTGTTCTATTTGACTACGGTATTGATATAGACTAATAGAGTAAAGTAGAAAACGATCCGCAGAGTAATCAATAACAAACATTGTCTTTCTGTTTCCAGGTGATGTATAAGTGGGCACAAACACAACTGTCAATGCATTGAATAAAACGTTTTGGCTCACCTGATGGTTGGTGTTGAGCAAGGTGAGGAGACGATCCCAGTTTTCCGAATCATAGTTGACCCTAAAGTACCCGGAAACATTAGTGTTGGCCAGAACCCAGTCCTCTCCTGAAACTCGCATCATCTCATGGGTGTCTGGTGGAAAATATTAAAGAAAGATACTCAGATGTTCAGTTCTTCCCATGACCAGTGGTTTGAGTCCAAGAATCTGGTAGGAAGTTCTTCTCAAATCTAACATAGAAGTATGTATTACAACCATAATACCTGTCTTTTGAAGGAGCCAGTACTGCTGTTGCTCTACGCCTGTCTTCATCCATTTAATGGGGACAAACCATGTGTAACTGGACGGAAACAAAGATAAAGACAGTCAGTTTTTAGTTGTGCGAAACATCTTTTGGGATGGCAATGTTTGGCAGTTAGTCGGGCTAAAATGTGCATGAATTGTCACGATGTTTGGTACAGATATGCATGTTCCCCAGAGGATTAATCCTACTGACATTGATACTCCTCTGGCTTTCCGTCTAGAACTTTCAGAGTGAAATATCTTAAGCATTGGATGATTCAGTGTGTACAAGTACATCCAAGCAAATCTAATACATTTCCAACAGCCTCGACTGAACTCTCCTTTACTTTACTTCATATGTTCTAAGGTGCAAATGATGTGTCATATCAGCATGTCAGCATACCCACTCTGGTATTTCATTTGTAGGAGTAGAGGACTGTTTTCACATTGCCTGGAGCAATAACTAAAAAAAGCTGTACCTTGTTATTTCCAACAAAATCAATTTATATATATAATTAATTAAATGGGATTGACGTCAGTTTAGGGAAGAGTTTGGGGTCCAACACTCTTACTTTTACCCAGAAGATAGCTTTATGCCAGAAATTATATATATTTCTCAGTAATTTTAAAGTAATATAACGTTGACTTTTTCAAAACATAACCGTCTAGTTTTTGGAGTTAACCTCACCAAGTTGTTTCCGGTAAAGGCAAAGAAAAGGAAAACATTTATTTTAAAAAGACTGAATGCGTGTTGCGGCACGTTCCCAGGAAAACCAACACAAATTTAAGGGAATTTCATTTTGTATACAAACTATTTGACAAGGAAAGGAAGGAGTACAGTACGAGTTTGTGCTTAAGCCAGGACTATGATCCAAATGATGGATACTACGTGAATCAATCTCTTAAATTATACTTTGACCTAGCAGGATAAAGGTGGAATGGTGATGGGAAAATACTGAATGTACTCTTCCAATATGAGAGTAACATGATAACAAAGGTATCCCCAACTGTAGCTGAAAAAGTGAGAATTTTGTGAAAAAAGTCAGAATTTTACGATTTTGAGAAAAAAAGTCTGAATTTTAAGATTTTGAGAAAAAAGTCTGCATGTTTTAATAAAGTCCGAATTTTTAGAGAAAATCTGAATTTTTAGAGAAAATCTGAATTTTCAGATTTTGAGAAAAAACTCAGTATTTTGTACATGACAGGAAGTATGATTACCTAAGAACCGGTATTCCTCCATCTTGTGACTGTGTAACTCCCTCTCTTGGATATCAGCATGTGAAGGACACTGTTCAGGAACTAGTGGATGCTCTGTATGTGATGACTACTTCCATTCTGGAGAGGATCATAAATGGATCCTGAGATTGAAGCTCAAGCCGGTGACCAGTGATATTTTTCTAACAAATGGATTCCTACCTGAACTGAGAGGGTCTCTCCACCACAGAGTCAGGATCCACCAGGAAGTGCTTCTGGGTAACACTTCCTGTCTGAGTGTCGATGGTGACGACTGGGAAGCCCATCTGAAGAGTCCAGCGGTTCATAATGTCGTGGACGGTGTGAGGAATAACGATACCGGGTGTGTTTTCAACTGCCTGGCAATAAACAGAGAATCACAGGAACCGGGATGAGGGCTTGCCTTTTTCAGAAAAGTTGAAAGATAATCACGGATTTGAACTTGATTCAAGATTTCAACGGTTTTATTGTACATAAGCTACAGTGTAGGAATGGCAATTCTTCTGACCTGAGCTCCTCCAACAACGCAACATATATCATAAAATACAAAAATAAAAATAGTGCAAAAAGTCTATATACATGTAAATAGAATATGATATGTACAAGAACATAATGTAAAATTAAATACGGTTTATTGCGGGGATAACTATCTATATAAATAAGTAAACACAAACCATTCTGAAAAACATGAATAATGTCTCTTAACAACCGTAGCATTGTCAACAATGAGCTACAAACTTATTTCTATCAAAACAGCAGATACGTGCCGTCAGGAGCGTTTCAAGACACTCTGGGTTCGAAGACACCTGCCCAAACCGTCTGTGGGTTTCCCCTTCAGTAGCATGGGGACCCTTTTTCTGGAGATGTCATTACAGTGCGTTTTACATAGCCATTTCCATGTGGTCATTACTGTGGACCGATGTGATTAACCACCTTTGGGGCCCCCCCTACTGGTCTGGGGTCCCAAGCAGTTGCCTGCCTTGCCGAGTGAACAGGGACCGTCTACAAAGTGCGAAGCAGAAAAGTTCTACCAAATGAGGTTTTGTTTGGTAGCTCCTATTTCCAAGTATATCAAAAACTTGGGTACATATACTTTGTTAATTTCCAAAACTGCACAAATGTCTGACTATACCGTTTTTTTTAAACACACTGACCTGCTGCAGATGGTCCCACAGGTCTGTGTACATCGTGTTGCTGAAGGCAAACGTGTTCAGGTAAGACTGGGAAGAGAAAACAGTTATCATGAGCAGGTCAAGCATCAACAGTGCTAATTAAGATGCTAAAGCTGCATTAGACCTGTGGTTGCAACCCCCCTCCCTTCACATGTAAACACATGTATCGTTCATAAACTGTCTGCAATAATTTAGGGCTGCAAGATTTTGAGAAAATTATTCAGAGCGATTATTTTTTACAGATATTGCAATTGGGATATGGCTCACTTTTTTTTAAAGAAATTATCACTTTTGCATCATTACTGTAATTATCATTGGAAAATATCGGAGTTTTCCGTACCAAATTGCACCTCAATTTGGATGCTGCACCATCCCGTTTTGCAATTTTGCTAAATTTCTATTAATTGTGCAGATCTACAATATTCTTGCAAGTGCTTTAATGCCTTTTTTGGATCAAACATTTGGCAGTTACTGTGGGCCTTATCGTTCAGCACATATTACTTGTAGAGGCAATATAATGTATAAGCTACTCCCCATTCTAAAATATATTTTACTTTTAATATTATTAGTTTTTTTTCCACAACCGTCTGGTGTGGAAATTATTTTTCAGGAACCACTTTATTAGACTACATGTTTTAAAATCATTGTGCTATTAGTCAGAGTCTACACATCATAGAGGAAGTCACGAATCATTTAAAGATACATCAGACTCACACACACACACTTCTGTCAGATTAACAGTAAGTAAGGATGTGGTTTGATTCATCATACCCTCAAACTCTGTCAATTGTACCCAAACTCATTTGCAGACACACACACACACACACACACACACACACACACACACACACACACACACACACACACACACACACACACACACACACACACACACACCTGTCAGAGTAACAGTAAGGATGTGGTTTGATTTATCATACCCACAAACTCTTTCAATACGACACACACTTACACAGAGACATAAACACACACAAACACACTTCTGTCAGATTAACAGTAACTAAGGATGTGGTTTGATTTATCATACCCACTGACACACAGACATAAACACACACTCACACAAAGCACACACACAAACACTCCCAGTGGAAGTAGTTGATAAATAAGCAGGTCTTATTACAGTTTACACTCACACTGAGTCCTTTGGCGAACACCGGCTCAGTGAGAAACTCTGAGAGCATCCTGAGCACCGCGGCTCCCTGAGAGACACAACAGATAACCAGTGAAGAAGTGGCTGGTTTAAATTCTTATAACAACAGAGGTGGGAAGTAGCAGAGTACAAATACTTTGTTACTGTACTTACATTTCTCTGGTATCAGTACTTTACTCCACTACTTATTTTTCTGATGACTTTTTACTTTGACTTCTTACATGTTGAACTCAAATACCTGTACTTTC